AAGTAAGAAAAACATCTTGCAATCCATACTTTGTTTCAAGAAAAATCAAATCCCGATTTATATTCATATCCTCGTGTTCTTCAAGTTTTAGAGAATTTCATCTTGTACTTTGGTGAAATTCTTTACAAAGCTTGTTATAATCCTTCAAACCATTTGCCGGAATACCTTTTAGCATCTCCAATACATTGGAGAAGGGGCAAATAACGTTTGAGGACAGCGATCCCGCGTTCGAGCCTTTACATTTGTTGATATAAATTTTGTTTTGATCCATCTTGTTGCCATATTTTCTTGTGATTTTCTCTTTTGTTTCTTCTCCATCTCTCAATTATTTCCAATAGAACTTTGGCACCCTCACGACAAATTTTCAAACCATAAATTCCAAAAGAGCGTTCAACACACCTTCATGCTCACGTATCGCAACCTCAATACTCATAATGTCATACCCAACCAAATTGCCTTGCTAGATATTCACCTCTGATATTTTTGATCTAATTGTTATGTTCTTTGATTGGTTCATTGTCATATATCCACATTCCTTCTTTGATGTCCAATTTTCAAGAATGGATGGAGGCACGTGTGTATGTTCATTGTGCAACGATAATTACACTTCATCCATAACATCCACTTAAAATAGAGAGCAAATATCTCAGCTACGAGGATCCGTTCATATATTTTTAATATATCCTTCTTTTTTCACTAATTCTCATGTCATTGTCTTTATGGGAAGGCTAGCCTTGCCACTTACTATAGGAGATGAAAATCAACACATCTATCAAATAGTACAAGTGGGTGCTGTTAGGTATATAAAAATATTCTTATTTGAACATAAAAAATATGTACATTTAATAGTTCTTTTAAGCAATTATAGCATAATTTATTGTATATTTCGTTTATTATGTCAAACTCGATGATTGAAAGTTGAATTGAAGGAAATAAGTGAAAAAACGATGAAAAGTGGTGAAGTTCAAATTTTCAGGACCAAATTGTTAATATTCAATAGTTGATTCAGACTACAAGATGATACTTTGAAGATTGCTATGAGTCAATTTGATGCAATTAAAAGTTAATAATGAAGCAATATGATCAAAATATTATCACATTAATTTTCAATCGCACAAGTTAAATTCCAATTTTTTATTCCCCATTTTTGGCATAGTAAACGTTCGAATTGGAAAAATTATACATCTAGAAAAGTTGTAATACCTTTAATTAGCTTTCCAACTCATATTAAATCGCTTCAATCCAATATCAGCAGAAAAAATTATTATCAAAATACTGACTACTGTTCATAGACAAAAATATGCATGCGAATGTAATTTTTCTTATTCGAATGGAAGTCTATTGAAAATCAATTTAGACGTGATTTTCAACCAAATTTCAAATCCTATGAATAACTAACAACAGAATACACTATTCCATAATACATTTCACCCAAAAATGGGGATCAAACAAGGGCTAAATCAATTAAAGAATTCATCCAATTTTTGGGTGAAAAATTGAAGAAACAGTTGAAGAATCATCAAGATTTCATTGAAGAAATTCGAGAACATCACGATTGTTATTCGTTATTCATCAAATTCATAATCCGGGTGATGTTCTATAGAATTAATATTCTCTCCATATCAAGATTATTTTTAGCTATTCATCAAATTCATAATCCGGATGATGTCCAATAGAATCAACACGTGTTTCTTGTACTTTCCATATGCTAGGCTAAATTTATAATTGTTAGGATGTATATGAACCCTTATTATGGAGTTTTTAACATAAAATAAATATTTTGATGTCCAATATGTGTGAATTCATGATAGTTGTTATTGAGTTTTAATGCATTTTTCAGTTGCTTGATCACTAGTTGCTTTGAATGTGAATTTTATAAATTTCAAGAGAAATAGTAGAATAGATGACACTAATAACTATCATTGTAAAGTTCAATAGGAGATAGAGATATATCACTATATTTTACAATATTTATCCAGAATTTTCTAGCCTTGTTAACCTATGTTTTCATTTTCGCACCTACATAGAGATATATGAAGGTCACATGAAGGAATATATTTAATTGATATCGAGATACGCTTTTAATTAACTTAAGAACATTGATCACGCAAGTACATATCCAGTCAGCACATACAATATTTACAGAAAATTGAATAATAAACCTCTTAATCAAGGTTAGAGTAGTAAAAAATGAAGAAATTGAAATTTTCGAACTTATAAGCTGATCGATAATTAATTTTATTCAAACGTTTCGTACGATGTACGACTTTTACTTACTTTTTATTCAATACCACTACCAAATGAGTCATAAGATTGTTTAACCTAAGTTTTGTCAAGAGAGAAAGAAAGCTTATTTCCATGTATTTTCATTTTGTTTCACAAGAGCTCGCCCCCAAAAGAATATTACATTAAAAATAGTTATTATACATTACAAGTTCTACTGTTCCAGTCATATATTTGTCAATTTCCCTTCTATATTACACTAAAAACATCAACAATGTCTCAAAACCCTCCCTGCACAGTAGTTTTTCTCTTGAAATTCACATTTTTACTCAATTTAACATAACCTAAAAATTACCGTTTTCAATTTCATGAGCTGCTGTGAACTATCATCCCCATCCCCTTTTTCATTGAGTCATTGAAGCGAAGAGTAGTACACAAGCCTCTATGTAGGTCATTATCGAGTGAGTCACGATAAGACAAGTTTGTGTTACATTGTGCACTTATTTGTGTTTTTTGTTGTACGTGATACTCTAAATTTGACTTTGACAATGTCAAATATTAATTTTTTTTTTTTTTTTTGTATAAAACGTCTCCCATCACCATTGTGTCATGAAAATAAAATTATATCTAAAAATATAAAATTCGTTTCCAAATGTGATGTTAAACCAAGGAAATATCAAATTGGTGTCATAATTTTCGTTTTTGTATTCGTTTTGGTTGGGTTTGGGGATCTAATTTAATGGAGAGAATATTAAACAAAATTCACTACTTAACTATTATTAATTCTTATTCATTATATTTCTTAGTTTTTTCGACTAGTGCATAGCAAATATATATTTATTATTGATCGTATATATGAGACTCTGTAATGCCCCTATTTGGCCCCCCCCCCCCCCCCCCTTTTTTTAAATATATATATTATTTCTTCAAACTTATTTTTCACCACGTAGATGGAACTTTCATCCACACATTCCCCCCGCCCCTATTTGTTCAGTTAAAAATTAAATTTTTAATATATTTTGATAAAAGTTAATAAAATGTGTAGTTAAAAAGTTCAGGTTGTGGATCCCATAAAACGTGAGATTGAAAATAAATTTGAGAAAAAAATTAAAATTTAAAAAAAGAGTGTTAAATATGAGATTCATCAACTTTATTAATTAAAATTTATTAAAAATCTTATAGATATCGAAATCAAACTAAACAGGGCATTATTCGCATGCTACATGTATACTTTTAATGTACATACTCGATATGTTGATAAAAAAAGGTACAAGACTAATCCTTGTACCTCTAAGAGTCAACATTTTCGGTCTTTATTGGCTGCTCATTTTGTTTCCATTCCATAGATGAACACGTGTAATAGTTAATTATAAGGAATATGTTGAAAAGGTATAAACTTTCACATTAAACAAAATTAAAAATATAAATACGCATATAAAAATTTGAGCTACTCATCCCGTCGAAGATGACCTTTTAACATGATATTTCAAGTTTTAGGGTCTATCCGATAATAATTATGATAATTGATTTTTTCATCTTTGAAAAAAAGTGGATCTTACCTGTGAGTGAAGAAGTAAAAAATGATGACTAGAATAATAAAATAATCGTCAAAAAATAATTTTCTTGGGTAAAAAATCGCTACCAAATGGGAGCTTAANCAACTTCATGACCTCATTGCTTTCATCTTTCCTTGCTGCTTCCACGAAACACACATCCGCACTCAATGCTTCCAGAAACCCCCACCCCACGCATCCCACCCACGCCCCCACCAAGTGTCAAAATTTTCATAAAGAAGTTGGTAAAATTTAATGGTTGATACCCAATTTTGAAAAGTCCCGATTAAGTTTCGAAATTTCATAATTGTTTTAATTCAGGTCACTCTGTTACTTAGTGTCAATACAATTAAGCAAGGCCATCGAAAAAATAAGTAAAAGGCCCATGTTGTTGAACAATTGTATGAAAAACCAGTTCAAGAGTCGAGCAAGTCCGACCTCTCAACTTATCCGTGCAAGCAAGCAAGCTCATGATAGTTAGTATACGTTTGAGAATTTATATTTATGTGATTATAAGTTGTGTGGTCATACGGAATGTATGGATAATGGATGCAAGTCTTACGAATAGTGTGGATAAAAAAGTATGCTCGATCAGGGGCGGATCCAGACGACTTGGGTTAGGGGGTCAAAAATAAAATTTATAAGGTATCTTTTAATAAAAAAAAGTTAAGCAAAATTTTTTTTACCCAAAATCTAGAAAGTCAATTGCCCCTACAATCCCCCCCAGGTCCGCCCCTATGCTCGATCAGTTTAAATTATAATTTAATCATTTTTTGAACATGCTCGTAACGTTTGCTCACAAAGTATCCTCAATTGAAATAATTATAAAGTTTAGCGACTTGATTGATACTTCCCTCAAAGTTAGGCAACCAAGAAAACTTGCCTTGGAATAGTCTTTACTTTTGACCAAAGAATTTGTATTTCAATTCACTCCATAAGTATTTCAATTCGTCCACATTCTTTCCTTCTTACCTAATACTTTGGAATAAAGAGAACTTAGCCAGAAGTTCTCTCATTTTAACAGCTTTTCTCTATCCCATTCCCACATGGCTAGTAGTGAAACCATGTCAAATTCTACTGATTGGATGCATTTCTATCAACATAACTTATCCGGCCAACCTCAAAACACCCCAAGTTTTAATGGAAGTGTGTCTGAGAATGTAATGGCGGCCACTGCCACCGCCCCAGCCACCGTCGGTGGTGCCACGGCTGCTGCGCAAAGCAATTTGAGTCCAAGTTACTATAACTTGGACGTGGAGGGTGGTCGTGCTTCAAGACCTCTCAGAAGGCGAACAAGGGCCTCGAGGCGAACCCCGATTACGCTTCTTAACACTGATACTAGCAATTTTAGAGCCATGGTGCAGCAGTTCACTGGGGGTCCGAGTTCTTCATTTGCATCTCGGCCTGAGTATACCAATGGTACGATTTTTTTCGTTTAAAAGTTTAAATTGTTATGAAGAGTGCATAAACCTGATTTCAAGTAGGTCATGTCAGATTTGAACCCAGAACTTTTTACTTGCTTGAGACTAAAAGTTTAAGGTGTTACAGACTTAGAGAAATTTACTATCTACAATTTAAACCTTTAAACGACCTCATCTAGAGACTTGAGTTTTTTAAATGTATATTTTGCAGGTATAAACTTTGGTTTTGGACATGGAACTCAACAAACTATGAACCCATCAGCAGCCATGCCTCAGAGTGGATTTCAAGTGCAATTCCAAAGACAACAACTACAATATCCAAATCATCAACAAGAAAGTTTCACTTCCCTGAACAATAACATTCAGGGTAATGCTGCTGCTTTTCTGCACAAATTCAGGCCTAACATGGGGGTGGAGGCGTCTGGTGGCTTTGTCAAAAATGGAGGCTCAGACCACATGCCACCGTCCGAGGGCGGCAGCTTCCACCAATGAAAAAAGGGATCTGCATAACAGCTGCAAGGAGTTTGATAATGACATGAAGGAAAGAGTTTCATTTGGTGCTGACTTTTGCTATTTGTTTCTTAGTTTTTCTTCCTTTGTTATGTATCCGTTCACATTTGTATAGTGGTTTCTTTGGCATTTTATTTGCACCTTCATATCTCACTATTAAAAACTGCAAATTTTTGGTCCTTGGTACTTAACTTTCCATCGCAAAGAGAAGTGGGTAAAATCAAGGTCGATTTGGTTATTTTTATATTTGCACTTTAATGGTTTAGTTCAATTAGATCCTTTGCAAGATTATGTTTTTTTTTTCTAGGTCTTTATTTAAATTCTCATTGTTACTTTATTGTTTGTTTATTGAATAAAGTAAAAGTTCGAGTTTTTAAAGATTTTTTTTATATGGTCCCATTTGGTACACATTAATATAAAAATAAGAATAAAAAATATAACAGTTATGGGTCCCGCACAAGAAATATGAAGTCAAATATAGTAGTTTGATGTGATGGATAACGATCATATTTTTCATTTTAATGAAAAAATAATGAAAAACAAACTGGCATAATAACAATTAACCTTGCTAGGCTGTCTGTCACTCATAATGGGGGTGACGGGAGAAATTTTTGTCTCTTTTAATTTTATGGGTCGAATGTGGGTCTCAACCTATGAGATTAGGTCAAGCATTTTGTCAATTTTTTTTTTATTATTTTTTTTTTCGGGCAAAGTAATTTAATTCTAATATCAATATTCAAGTTTTGAATTGACAAGTACGTCGATCAAATAAATTATTCTTTATCTGATTGCTAATTTTATTATTTTCAAGATTAATTTTTCTATTTAAATCTTATCTAATTACGTCGAACTAAAACATTTCTTTGCTCAATGACATTATAATGGACAAAACAACAATACAAATAGAGAAGCAAGTAAACAAAAAAATAACAAATACGTATCATATCTTAATTTACAAACAAATTTAACCCCTATTTAATTTAATAAAAATCAAAATTTTAATAATTTTAATAAGGATAGTTGAAAAGTTGATAACAATCGTGAATCTCATGAAATATGCAATTGAAAATAAATTAAAAAAAAATGAGCTTCAGAAAATGATAAATAATAAATCAATCAATATATCTGGTTTATGAGAGCTTTCATAGTGCTCATCTAAACTCTCTAGTATTGGACAATGCACACACACACACATCGATTTTGCGTTCCAAACTTATTTATTCTAGCAATCCAATGGACAGTTAATAAAACAAAGTAACGATGCGATTCATCACAACAAAAAGAAGAAAAAAAAGCTTGTCCATTAACAACAATCAAATTTAAAACTCAACATAAAAAGCCTGATCGCTTTATTAATTCCAGTATATGAGAACTGCTATGATCTTCTCACTGTTTTCAGCCCTATTCAGCATGTATAAGCACAAAATTTCAAGTACTGAGTCAATAGATCCCGAAATCTCCTATTTCTTTTCGAAGTTCTTTTGGAAGGGTTTTCAAGAAATGTCTAGCTGCCATTTGAGGAATCATTTTCTTGATCTACAACCAGGTACGTGTTTAAATGGAAAAGTCCATCAGTCAGCAAAAGGCAGTCATAATTCACCATCCTCATACATGGCTAGCAGTACCATTCAACTGGGTTGATCTCACATTAGGCTCATCCTGGTATTAGAGAGAGAGCAGAAGTAATAAGCTCTCGGCAAGTTCATAAAGACATTTTTATAAAACAACATGGTTAACTGTGACCAAACTGACTGGCAGACTGTAGCTGAAACTTGGTGGCCTAAAATCCAGATACCCCTAAACAGTTGGAGGAATAGAAAAAATGAAATTCTATATTCTAAATCATCATTTAACCAGATAAGCTTAAATACAATAAATTGAAAAATTGGGTTTAAAACACTGGAGGTCACTAAACTTCTAGCAAAATTTCAAGTTTATAACAACATACATATGTTACAATTTGGTCATTTCACCTATATCGTTAGTTAAATAACGGAAAAGCTAACGTGATAGTCTAGGTGGCAGATGCCACTTTTATTGAAATGGTCGGATTAACCAACTTGAACAACCAACATGAAATTTTGCCAACAGTTTGGTGACCCATGATGTATGGAAAATTATGTAGAAGTAGGCTACAATACCAGTCCGGTTGGGCTCTGTTGAGACCCAAAAAAACCATCATGGCTTGACGCAATTGAGTTCAACTGTCCCTACAACCAAATTCCAGACCTTACATTGTCACCCAACTATCTATCTATACATTTAAAAGCAGAGGCTCAAGAGAAAGTAAAGAGGTAATGTGTATGTGTGCATCTGTGGCATTAGGATATACGTACCAGACCCTGCATATTCTGTTGACTTACATAGTATGCATCATGGGGTGGCTCCATCAGATTTAACTGGATCTCCACACAAAAATTATCACAATTTTGTTTGCAAAATAATATATAAAGCAAGTATAATCTTCAAACCTTAAACCATTTATAACAATATGTGGGTTCAAACAAAAACATACCAACCCGTGCATGCTCTGCTGGGACCCATAGTAGCCATTTAGGGTAATTACATCTGAGCTTAGATTCTCCTGTGAGCAAGAAAATATAAAAAGTAAGGCATTAATCAGTAAAGTCACATATATAAATAAACGTATACAATTCAAACATCTACATGCTTGCATATGTATGCTTCCTTCTAATTTCTCTTTAGTATATTTTAAATTCCAATTAGTATTCCTTTAAAATTTCTCTTTGGTATATTTGAAATCCCAATCAGCGTCGCTGTTTTGGAAAAGAATGGAAGATGTTCAAGTTATAAGAAAAGCCTAACTCATTATACATCATAAGCAGCATTTCACAAGGACTATGACTAGGTTACAGTATAACTTACCATCTGTAACAAGCTTCCTTGAGCCTCAACAACTACACCTCCTGTCTCTGGTTGTAACTGGGATTAACACAGTTATTTTGTTAGAGGCAAATGGTATAAAAAAAAGAACAAGTAATCTACAACGAACCTTTCTTTTCTTGTTTGTACTCTTCTTCTTATTTGTTTTGGTAGCATGGACTACCTGATTCTCCTCTTCAGCACAACAAAGAGCAAAAGCATCGCTACTATAATCAGCAGCACTCCTGTTAACATTCACACAGTTCTTCAGAGCTTCAACTAATGCACGATGAGCTATATTGTATCTCTTCTCAGATATCGAACCTTCTTCACCCAATTTAATAGCACGTTTGCATAGATCATTGTACTTTTGCACCCTAGTTTGTGTTCTTCTGGTTCCCTCTATCAACGATTGACTGCGCTTCGCATCTTTTGTCCACCTCTTCAATATATATTGAGACGGTATGCTTGAAAGACCACACATTTGAAGGACAATCATTGAATGTCTACAAAGAAAACCTTTATATTCAAACAAAAGGCAAGAACAAGAAACCTCTGATTTTGCCTCATTCCATTTAACCATAAAATTCTCTGTTTTTTCGCAGTCATCAACTCTGAAAGTAACATTAGTTCCACTTTCACTTTCCTTCTTAGGATGGCACCCTACCACCCCCAAAACCTCAACTTGAAATTTCTTGAACATTGTGTGTGTATAAATAGTCGACATTTGTTTTTCCCAAGGGGAAGGTGACTTCAGCGCCGGCTGTTTGTGCCATGTATCGAAGTCTGCTAGGTCTTCCTCTTCAAACCTATTACTAAGTATCATCCCATACTGTTTCACAAACTCTTTAAGACTGATTTTCTTGGGAATATATTTATCAAAGAAAGAGTTGACACTTTCATTTCGCTGGGTTGTAGACAATCCAGCCAAAAAAGTACTTCTCATAAAGGTGGGAACCCACTTTTTGCGGTGTTCATACAATGAATGAATCCATTCATTGTCTTGTAGTTCAAATCTACCGACCATCTTCCACCACCTCATGTCAAACACTTCATCCGTCAACGACTTGAATATACATTTATTGAATTTTCTCATAAGATTCTCGTGCTGTTTGATTACATGAGCAAGAGTTTCAGGGATCCTTTCCAGTATATGCCAAAGAGCAAAGCAATGACGCGAATAAGGGCAAACTTCTTCAATAGCTGATTTCAGCGGTCTGTCTTGATCAGTGATTATAACTTTAGGAGGTTGCCCACCCATTGCTCTGAGCCAAGTCTTCATTAACCAGACAAATGTAGGTCTAGTTTCATCGGCTAACAATGCACAACCAAGCAACATGGGCTGAAAATGATGGTTCACCCCAACAAATGGAGCAAATGACATCTTCTCATTGCTTTTAATATAACTGGTATCTAATAAAACAACATCACTGAAGCTGATATAGTCTTTCCTGTTTCTGGCATCGACCCAAAATAAGTTCCTCAAAACCTGATCTTCATTCAAATCGACTGCATAAAAGAAATTAGGATCCAATCTTTGGATTCGCATAAAATAGTCAAGCATTACTTGTGCGTCCCCCTCTTCTAGTGCCAAGTACCGACCTCTATCAAATTGATGGTCAAATTCATTCTTTATGAGGCCTAGATTTTGAAGTCCACCAGATTTTTTAGACATCTCAACATACATCTTTCTTGTCCGTTCACTAACCGCATGTAAAATGTCGATGTTATTCTTTTCAGCTAATTTAACATTCTTACGAATTCGGAAATGGTAAGCTAAGGCAGGTAATAGCTCGTGATTGTGCTCCTTTATAAATTCATGAATATACCATTTTCCATCTCGCTTTCTCTTCACATGCATGCTCGCTTTACAATCTGTCTTTTTCACACTCGGACGTCTACTACTGCTGCTATCAGATTCTGGTGCGACTCCATATCTTGAACATGCAAATTTAGCGTCAATGAATTCTTTGGTTTTCTTTGAGCGACGACTGTTTTTTATTGAGGTGGTGAACCCCATCGACTTAGCATACTCTTGATAAAATGAACATGCTGCCTCATGTGATTCAAATTCGACGTCATCATGTGGCTCAAAGTTATCTTCTTCATTTCCAATAAGGTTTCTTTTAGGAGAAGTAGCTTTCTGGCCATCCCTGTCGGGCGCTTCATCCACAACATCTACCATATTCAAAACTATTGCTTCCTAACCACCTTTGCACATCCACCATACTATCTACAACATTTTCAGTATCAGTAATTTTATCTAGTTCAACCAAATACCCACTTTTCTCCTGTAAAGGAAAATAATAATGCGATGGCGTATAAGATCATTGGCTTAAGGAACACGACAGAGCTGTCATAATTGATTCGAACTACAATAAAAGGACCCCCGCCCCCCACCCTTTCCCCGTAACATAGA